GAACCGTGGTCCCTGTGCTTTGACAAGCTTGTTCTAAGTAGGTGCCTTAGACCACCGAGCCATCTCTCCAGCCCCACTACATCAAAATAGTAGGAAATTTAAAATTGGTACATTGTATAAAATAATTAAAATGAATTTTCATTGAAAAAGTTAATTTATAAGACTGCAAAAAAACACTAAAAGAATACAAGCTGTAGTAAAAATTCCTTAATGCAAACCAGTAAATTCATGTGACCGTAGCACTGAAAAAAAAAAAGTTTAGAAATCAAGAAAAACATTTGAGAATAGAAAACAGGATCACAGGAAATCACTCACTTGGGTCCTTTACAACAAAATTGTCAGCAAAAATGACTGGCAAATAGGATCCTATTATCTTTAACTCTCACCTTCTGAATCTGTACAGCTAACTCTCTTGTTGGAGCCAAGATCAAAGCCTGGGTTTCTCGAACCTGGTGAATAATCAGAAAAGAGGATTCTCAGTATTTTCAAGGTGAACTGCAGTAACTCATAGCTAGAGCTACTTTAAATATTACCCTTATTAACTGCACTTCAAATTTCCAATGGGTATAAGCAAACTTTAGTGTTACTTACATTGCAAATCCAATGCAACAAACAATAGGATTCTCAAGTGCAGACAAGAATTTCCCCTAACTTAAAAACCTTCTAAAAGGCATTTATGACAGACACTAGTTAGTTCAGATATTAGTATGTAATAGATACACCCACCCCTCCCCACCCCAGTCCAGGCTAGTGTGGTGGTGCACACCTATAATCCCAGTGCTGGGGGTGCTGAAAACAGGAGGATCACTACAAGTCTGAGCTGTGCAGTGAGACCCTGTAGCAAATACATTCTTAAAAATGCTCAGTTAGTACAAGTACAGAATTTTAAACACTACACTCTTCGAACACCAGTACTGCCAAAGAAAAAGCGCGAGGACTGAGGAGCACTTGTTTGAGAGGGGCAAATCACCTGAATATCCAAACACTGGAGGACTGAAATGCTGAAGGTGGCCGTCTTGCCTGTGCCAGACTGAGACCTGTCAAGAAAGCAGAGAAGTGGGACTTGAGAGGAAGGCGCAGGCACGCTTCTCCTTCCTGTGACCCTCCCAGCAACACTCAAGGGCCTGGCTCCAGAAGCACTGGCAGTTTCTTCTAAGTAGATGCTCCTCCCTCGTACCAGCACCCACGAGGAAACAGGGCGCAAGCACAGTGCCCAACATCTACATTCTATAGGTGATTAGGCAGTAAATGTGGCATCTCCACTGGACATCAGAACTGCAGAATTCAGAGCTTTAACAAGTGCTTTATAGGTGATAGGAAAACAGAAATCTGGCCAGGTGTGGTGGTGCTAGCCTGCAATGCCAGCACTCAGGAGGCTGAGGCAGGAGGATCACTGTGAGCTCAAAGCCAGCCTGAACTCCATAGCAAAACCCTATCTCATAAAGAAGAAAACACCTCGGCCTGCTGCTGGGATGCACTGAGAAGGCAATTGAGACTGGGCATGGTGGCGTGTGCTTATAGTCCCAGCTCTTGGGAGGCTGTAAACAGGTGGATCACTATGACTCCGATCTACGCAATGAGACCCTGAATACCATATAGACCCTAACCCTAAAAAAAAAAAAAGAACAAAACAATACAAAACAAAACAAAAAAAGAGATATACCTTTAAATAGAATTTTTTTCTGGGCCAGGGAGATAGCTCAGTAGAATAAGCGCCTGCCTGGCAAGCACAGGATCCTGAGTTCAATCCCCCGTACCATAAAAAACAAAAAACACACACACACAAAATCTGTTTTCTGAGATTTTTTTGTTTTGCTTTTTTTTTTGGAGGGGGGGTAGAGGGGGAGTAGGTACCAGGAATCAAACTCAGGACCTAATGCTTGCCAAACAGCCACTGAGCCAACGAGCTAAATTCCTGCCCTATCATTTTCTGAGATTTGGAACAAAAAACATCGTCCAAGAAATGTAATAGGTAAATTTTAAAAATATAAGACAAATAGGTCTAGCGGTGCAGCTCACTGGTAAAGTGCCTACCTAGCATGTACAAGACCCTGGGTTCCATTCTTAGCACAGCAAAAAAAAAAAAAAAAAAAAGGGAAAAAAGAAAGGGCAAGAGAATGAGGGGGCAGGGTGGTACACATCTGTAACCTCAGCACTTAGGGAGGCTGAGGTAGGATGATCACAAGTTTGAGTCCCACATGGGCAACTTAGCCAGATGCTATCTCAACAGTTAAAAAACTGAAAGAGCTGGGAGTGGATCTCAGTTGGTACAGAACCCCTAAATTCAACCTTTAGTACTACGAAACACAATAAAACTAAAGTCCTGGGTGAACGTGAAGAAGTGGTAACCAATGTATACATAACTAACATTATTCTGCTACACTGTCACTGAGCACACATCCCTACATCCCTAAGTCTTGAACTAGCTACACAAACCAACTTACTGTGCAATGACATCTCTCCCTTTAATGATCTGCTTGATAGCTCGCTGCTGGATTGCTGATGGCTTTTCAAAACCTGCAGGCAACAAACAATGCGCTCTTACCACTGTGATAGCATTAAACCTGCTCTTCCAGGACACAGAGGATGGGCTGTAAATGGCCAAGCTCTGCGAACCCACATCCTAGCCTAACTCACACAGAAAGCACTCAAGACACAAGAGCCCAGTGGCTCTTTATTCTGACTAGAGTGGGCATTATCTATAAAGACAAGAATCTCTACACAAGGTGCATCATGTTTAGAATATAAAGACTCTAGTTCTATTTTAAAAAAGAAAAAAGAAATTTAGGGGTGTGCAGTATCTGGAAGCAGACACCAAAAATTTGCTGGTGGTTACTACTGGAGTGTCACATGACAGGGACACCACTTTTTACTCTATTTTTGTGTCCTGACTGCGCTACAAATGGCTTTTTTTTTTTTTTTTTGCAAAACCGGGGATTGAACTCAGATCCTGGCGTTTGCCCTTCAAGCGCTTATCCTACTGAGCCACCTCCCCGGCCCCCCATATGGCTTTTTAAAATTACTTTGTAAACTTAAAAAAAGAAAATAAATCTAGTAGCACTATAGTCACTGCTCTTTCCTTGCTAGCATGAAAAATGCTGGGCTGTCCAGCTCTACAGAATATTCAACTTGCACAGGTGGGGAGTCTAGCACTGCCCTCCCATTTGGAGGCAACTATCGTAACCACAGTACCACTTCTGCTGCCCAGCAAGCACTACCAAGGAACGAGGCTATTCTGAAGGTCTAAAAAAGTATTTTTCAAGTAGGCAAATAAAATTTTATGAGTATAAACTGTCAGTTATTTTGTAGACTTTTAAAATAAGGTCTAATTTCCCATTTCAACACAAAAGCATATATAACCGATGACTTAAACTCCACAAGCACTGGACAGGCGGCACCCAGTTTTGAGGCATTCTTTCCCTGTCAACCCTCAGCAACTTTTCACTGGCTAAACTGTCCTGACACCAAGAACTGTTGGATAAGGCGCTTCCCAGTCCCAGGCACTGAACAACCTCAGATGCCTGTATTCCCATCTATACATTTTCAATTACAATCTTGCCTGGGATCTACACTGGAATGGATAGCTGTCTCCCCAACACCACCACAGACCTTCGAACAGACCAACACAGAACTCCCAATGTTACTTTCCTCCACTACTTCCTGCTAAGCAGCACTGCCCACCAGATTACTCAAGGTACCCCAAATTCAGACTCTTAGTCCTCCTTCCTCTGTGGTTCCCATTCAGCTCATCAGCCAATTCCTCCTTGGATCATCTCTTCTCTGACCAGCTCAAAAGCCTCCCAACTCATCTCCCTCCCTGCCTCACCTCACCCTAAACACCGACACCACAATAACCCTTGAATCTGTAAGTCTAATCCTATCACTGTGCTGTTTTAAACTCTTCACCGTTTTCCTACTGCACTTAGAAATGAACTGCAAAACCTTTTATCACTATCTCACCAAATTGGCCACTGTGCTTGCAGACGGAATTTCTTTACGCTACTGGAACACAGTCGGTTGAAGGCCACAAGGCCCAAGCGCCAGCTGTTCCCTACCCCTTGAATGCTTTTCATTTTTCTCATCATCTCAACGTGATCGTTCCTCCTTGGGGAGCCCTTCCCTATCTTTTGTGGTTCTCTCCTGCCCAAATCCTATTCTACAAGCAACCAACCACTTCACGTTTTTCATACCAACTGCCGCTGCCTGAAGCACCCGTGGCTTTATAGCGCCCCTCTCTCTCCCACCCAAAGGCACGATCCTGACACAGCTACACCACCGGGGCGCCTCGCAAGTACAAAACGCTTCTACCCGCGAATGACTCCAGGGCGCCGCCAACGCCTCGCTGTACACCGGTCACCCGGACACGAACCAGGTGCAGCGACCGGGTTCCAGGAGCTGGGATCGCACGTCATCGGCGCCCGAGCCACAGCCCGGATGCCGCGCCGGCGCGTCGCCAGTCCCCCCGCTGGGTACCCGCCCGCGCCCCGCGGCCCGCATCCCGCGGCCTCCGACCCGCGCTCCCCGACCGTAGGCGTAGATGCCGCGCAGCAGGTCCTCCCGGAGCCCCATGGTGTCGAAGGTGGGGGTCACATCCACCTCCTCGCTGGTCTCGAACTCCACTTTGGTCATGTCCTCTTCTTTGAGCAACCGCTTCCGTGCCGAACCCGAGGTCGCCATCGTGGCCGTGGCCGCCATGATCACGACTCGGTTGAAAAGCTAGCGCGCACCGCAGTTGGAAGCGGAAGTAGGCCTCGCCACGGACGCCGCCGAGAGGAAGTGACGCAAACACGCGAGAGTGTAAAACGAGTGGGCTCGCCGACGACCTGCGTCAGGGCCACGCCCCTGGGGGGGCGGGGCGTTCCTAAATCTGCGAATGAGAAAGGGAGTGTTGAAGTTCTCGCGTCCTGTGGAACTCCCGCGGGATTTCATTAAGAGCGGGCCCTCCCACATCCTTATTTAAGTTTGGCTGCTGCGCGTGGTGGGTGTAGGTTGTGAGGAATGCTGTCCCGTTTTGTTGTAGGTGGGCTGTTGTGGCTGGACTTAGCGCTCCAAGTGACGAAAATGGGGGTTCCCCGAAACCGGCGGCGGGTGAGCGACGATGCCTGTCACGCACGGGACCTACGCGGCTCTGCGTCCGCGCCGAGCCCCGAGGCGCGCCAACCGACGCAGCTGCGTAAACTCGCAACGCGGGCCCGGCGCTCGCCCCTTGCTCCGCGACGCTGGCTTCCCGGAGCCGCTTCGAGAAGTCGGAGTGGGCTGCGGGGCTGTGCGTGAGCTCGAATTGGGTCTGCTGCTTTCGAGTTTGTCATCTTCCAGGTGTGGGACACCACGCCCGCGTCCTAAAGTATCTTTTCACTCGTCGACGTCCTTGAAACGCAGTTCACTTTGGAGAATCATGTTTTGAGAAAGTTATAGAGGACAAGGGCCAGCTTGGTCCTTTCATACTGCTGACCTGACTCTCTATATCTGACTCCATCCCTCTCTGTGTCTGTGCGTGTCTCTGTCAGTCTTTTTTTTTTTACTTTTTTTTTTTTAACCTTTGTGTCAAGAGCTGACTTTCAATATATCACGGCAAGAGAGCTACTGTACGAGACCCCGACCCAGAAACAGGTGGTCAGTCTTATATGATGGGGCCTTCTGCGGCTAAGCAGGTGACTACCCCTGTGCCGCCCTAGGGGGATCAAGCTCAGGACCTTTGCACCTGCCACGCAGGCGCTTATGCCACTGAGCTATATCCCTAGCTCCGTGTGCAGGGGTTCTTGAGAGTCCTCATTTTGCAACAGTTTCGTCAAAACGTGATCAACGTTTTATGGAGAAACCTCGGGTTGCAGTATGGCAAACAAGTAAGCATGTCTTCTCAGGGAACAAAGCTCCCATCCTGGCAGCAGAATTTGTTCTGATAAACACGCCGGAGGAGGATGCCACTGTTAATCAGAATACTAAATAGCCAAGTATGAGATGAAGTGCCTGTAATCCCAGCGTTAAGGTAGGATGAGGCAGGAGGATCAAAAGTTCAAGTTGTTGGGGCTGGTGAGATGGC